TAAAAAAAAAAAAATTAATTAAATAAAATCCTAAGTAAACCCTTTTCTCCTTATTATGAAATTTTGGTCCCCATTGTAACTGGATTCATCAGTGATCTTCTTTAAATAAAGAGTATAATACGTACATCGAATGAGCCTGAGCTAGCTACATCCTAAGTTTTGACTATCCCTAAAGTCATAGATACCACCATAGTATAAAATCTCCATAAAATATGTAAGTAAGGTAAGAGTATAAAACAAATAACTGCTACAAATCAGCCTAATGAGTAAACCAGGCCCAGCCAAGAGTGTCAGAGACAATCAGAAGTCCCTACAGAAAACCAAGAGTACTGAGATAATTCTGATTTCAAGAGTTTTAGTCTTGTCTCTAATAATCTCAAGGGCCTTGAAGAAGACCTATGTCATTTACGACATCTCTTTTTACTACAAGGCTATGAAGACCCAATGAGACAATACAGACCAAAGCACTTAATAAGCTTTAAGTTACTGCCTGTTTAAACTTGTAGCTCTGAGACCAACCTTCCTTCAATATTTTATCAAGCACCTATATATTATGAAGCACTGTACACTATGTGTTCAGTGGCAAGAATTAGAAGGTGCCAACCCAATTAAATATAATAGCATCAAGTCAGGACTACTGACTATGACAATCATTTCACATCATTATATTCAAACAAAATAACTTAAAAGCATATAAGGGGGGAGCCTGAGTGGCTCAGGTGCTTAAGTGTCTGTCTTTGGCTCAGGACATGATCCTGGGGTCCTGGCATAGAGACCAGCGTCAGGGTTCCTGGTCAGCAGGCAGTCGGCTTCTCCCTCTGCCCCTCCCCTCCTACTTGTGCGCTCTCTCTCAAATAAATAAATAAAATCTTAAAAAAAAAAAGCACATAAGGATAAACTGATGAAGCTGCTTATTTATGACAGGAGGCAAACAGTCTGCTTATAGCTAGATATACAAAACAACAGACAATATGATCTTGAATCATGTGTCTTTCCCTAATTCTAGACAGGGAGTATATAATCCTAACAACTACTCTTACTGTCACATAATAAAAGAATCTTATTCTACCATAATATCACAGAACAAAAAGACAAAGAGCATTTGCTAATGATTTTCTAAAATTTCCAGCCCTGAGGAGCCTGGGTGGCTCAGTCAGTTGAGCAACCAACTCTTGGTTTCGACTCAGGTCATGATCTCAGGTCCTGATATCAAGCCTCATGTTGGGCTCCATGCTCAGTGCTAAGTCTGCTTGAGACTTCTCTCCCTCTCCCTCCCTCTCTGACCCTCTGCTCGTGCGCTCACTCGTGCTCGCTCATGCTCTCTCTCTCTCAAAAAAAAATAAAATAAATCTCAAAAAAGTAAAATATCCCGCCCTGAGCATAGAACCTAATGCACAGTAAGTGCTCTCTACCTGATGTATCAACTGTGAATGGTCTGTATGTATTAATAGCGTGTGATCATATAGAATTACTTTTAATTACACCTTTCCCAAGCTATGTCGTTCAGCTGAATTTGCATTCTCAGAATGATGACTTTTTCAAATCTTCAGTTAAAAAATATCAAAGGCAAAAATCAAAGCTATAGATTGCATCCACAATCTAAAACCAAAGGCCTAAAATAAACAGGTTACTTGCCTCTTCAAGCCCATGAAGTCTTTAAGCAAATTTAGACTTTCTGCCAGAAAAAAAAAATTCTATTTATACAAGTTTTCTAACTCCCAGTTTAGATACCTAACATACTGTCCATAGGCTCCAATATTTTCAATTCTTTATAACAGAGCCAATACTCCACTGACATCTCTTTTGATGATAAACAAACAGATTTATATTTCTATATATATGCTTCTAGAGAATTCTCTATCTCCACTGTTAGACCTAGGGTTTTATGTAAATACAAAGGCAAAAAACTATACATGTAAAATAATTTCAATGTGAACCCAAGAAAAAGGGTTTGTCTAAGCTGCCAATAGGCTGCCAACACAGCCTAGCCACCCTAAAAAATACTTAGGACAATACAGACTCAAGATAACCACCAAAGCAAATTTTTCAAAATCTGCAACTGCCAAGTTAAGAAACCAAGGAGTACTAAAGAATATTTCATATATAGGGGCGCCTGGGTGGCTCAGTCGTTGGGCGTCTGCCTTCGGCTCGGGTCATGATCCCAGGGTCCTGGGATCGAGCCCCGCATCGGGCTCCCTGCTCCGCGGGAGGCCTGCTTCTCCCTCCCCCACTCCCCCTGCTTGTGTTCCTTCTCTGGCTGTGTCTCTCTCCGTCAAATAAATAAAAATCTTTAAAAAAAAAAAAAAAAGAATATTTCATATATAAATCAACAAACAAAAGTGACACACCCACATTCTCTGTGACTTTAAAGAACATCAAGGCTATCTAATAGCCTTGAATGTTTAATGCACTCAAAACGATCACCACATAAAATTTTTTCTGATTAAATCCTTAAAGATTCAGAGTCATCATGGGGTGGGGAGATCTTCTGTGGTGACACTAAGGTGACCTAACAATAGATTTGAACAGAAACAAAATTAGAATCAAGTATTTAAAGCTGAGGGGTATTTTTTAACAACCAAGAAGTTTGATTTTAAAGGTGATGAAACTGAGACTAAAAGAAGTCAACTGATCATTATGCTAACTAATCAAGAAATTCTGCAAAAAATCAAATAAAAACGAACTCTATCATTTACAACTCTTTAACAACAGTACACACCACTACTGAACAACTCAAATTAGATTTTCTTCTATTTCTATACACGTACACATACCACACACGTATACATAAACTTTAAAACTAAAAACTAGAAAAGGCTCAAGAACCTACTCTGATGGTGGCATTTATCTAAAACATAAGATGCTATACCTTCAGAACAGGTAGTTCAGAAAAACTGGCCTAATTTAAATTTTGACTGATGTCCAAGATCTTCTCATCTTAGCTACTTTCAATTTGTACCCAAAATGCACTCCAAACTGAAGCAAGAGTCAACCCATCAACTAAAAAAATAAGCCATGCCTTGTGTAAAAAAAGGACTCCAGGAAATTGGTTCACCTGTACTCATGACACCAGCAAGCCAAAGCATTTAAAAAAGAAAAAAAGAAAAAAAAAACGCAAACAAATGTATACCTCCATTTGAAAAATAAAATCTGAACTCAATCAAATGCCCTTAAAGTTCTCTTAGCCAGTCCTCAATGGAAAGTTAATTGGAAAAAAATCTGAAAAGAACCAAACTCATACAACAGCTAAATTTAAAAATCAAAGTAAAACTTCCCCAAAAAGCCTATCATTAGCAATAGGCTCTCAGCCATCAACTGATAAGCAACCAAAAACCAATTAGTTATGTTTCCCTTTAATTTGCCTGTATATATACATTTATGTATATATTTAAGTTGTACCAAAAACTGCTTACAAATGGCAATTCCTGTGAAGTAGATGATGATGAAGTTCCAGGTAATTCTAGCATGTTTCCTAATGTACTGGTACTGGAGTCTGGATCATCCTGAAAAGATAAATTTATTGAGTTTAATTGCTCTTCTATGGTAACGTTTGCATCTCCTAGTGAAAAGGGGGCTGGGAGAAGGGCTGCTTTTTCATTGCTGCCGTCCACTTCATTTCTTTGCTTATTTTTCTGTGTTTCAGTTTGAGGAGCTAATGGCAAGAATGGCGATTTGACTGCACCGTGTCTACTCTCTGGTGTGCTGTCTTGTTCATTTCCCATGGCCACGTCTACACCATTCTCTGATTTAGGCTCATAATTGCAGGTGGCATTGGTCTGAGTTTCCTCAAAGATCTCCTCTATACTCTCATCCTCTGTGACTGGCTGTTCTGGGTCCATTTCAGAATCTACATCTGCATCGTCCACACAAGTAAAATTCTCAAAGTGCAGAAAGCCATTCTTGATAGTCTTTGTTACTTTTACCTGGAGTTCAGGGGAGTTATTACAAGAGGGTTCCTGTTTCATAGCAAGTGCTGTTGGACCACCAGGACTCAAAGAAGTGCAAACAACTGGCGACTGAGCTCTTGAATCACTTTTTTCAGGGTCTTGAAAGGATTCTGATCCATCAGCAGACCCATTTAAATACTCTACATTGATCATGGAGGCCAAATCCTGTAGTCTCCGCAGTGGAATGTAACAAGATGGAGAATCTTGTCCATAAGCATTTTGGGATGTTCCACTGGCAGTCGATAACTGCATAGTACACCCATTAAGTGGCTCAGAAAAATTGGATTGACCATTACCGAAAGGGCTGTCCTTGTCTTCAGGGGCATCTAAATTCACTGGATTGGAAAAGGGCAGCAGACAATTTCTTCTAGATAGTTCACAGGTCTGATCCATCCTGGGCCAGCATCAACCTGGAATCCAAAAACAGCAATTAATCGGAGTTTATAGGCCATTTGACTCTTATCTTCAAAATGGCAGCCAATTCTCAAGGCCTAGTGGCCTCGATGCCTTTTTGCTGCACTTCCATGGGCGGAAAAAAGTTCCCCAGCTGACGATGGAAAAATGGCCTCGGTGAGCCTCCGCAAACTCCATCTTCCCGGAGCTGGGCAGATCTTGCCACATGCAAACAGCCCGTCCCTTTTTCCTGCACTGCAGACTGGTGGACAGTTGGGCTGAACTAAAATTAAAATCCCTTTGGCAGTAGAAATTCCTAAATCTCAAACAGGAATCGCCCTCCCCATCCCCCGCCGGGGGGAGGGGGGGTGTCCAGCGGCCGGATCTCCAAAAGGGAGGGGGCTGTAGGGCTCGAGGGGGGCTCCCGGACGCTGCACAAAAAGGTTACCCCCCCCTTCCTGGCTCGCTCGGGCGCAGCGGTCACAATAGCGCTGCACCCTGCGCCCAGCCGGCGCTCAAGCCCTTGCAGCGGCCGTGTACAGGCCGCAGGCGAGTCGGCCGAAGCGGGTGCACCCCGAACCTCGCCTTCCAGACTGCAGGACTGCTCAGTCCACGGCTGCAGGGCCCAGAGGCCGGGACGGGCAGGGGGAGAGAAACGGAGGCAGCCGGTGAAGCCGAGTCAGGGCAGCAGCAGCTGCTACAGCTTGACAAACATGGCTGCTGCCGACGCCGCCGCCGCCTGCCCGGGCCGCGCTCCTTCCCGCAGCCGCGGCAGCACCTCCTGGCCGAGCCGATCGCACTCATCAATATTAAGCAGCAAGCAAAGTTTGCCGCAGGAGGGCAGCCGGCCCCGCGCCCACCAGCCGGCTACCGGAGGGGAGGCGGAGGCCGAGGTGCGCGCGGGAGGCCGGCGGGGCAAGGGCCGCGCCGGGAGGAAGTTCGCGGCGGCCGGGCCGGCTAGGCCTGAGCCCGGCTGGTAGTGATGGAGGGGGAGGGGGCCCGCGGCTACAACGCCGCGGGCCACCAACACCGCGCCGCGCCCGGCCCTCCCCCGCGCCCCTCACCTCACGGCCACCACCATCTTCCCCGCCCGGCCACCTCCTCCCTCCTCCTCGCGCCTGCCCGCCACCCACCCCAGCGCACTAGTTACCGTGCCCCGCGCCCCCTCCCGGGCCGGCTGGGGGGAGGGGGTGACCCTCATTACACTGGGGCGCGAGCGGAGCCTTGGGGAGAGAGCGGAGCCGCTCGCCGCACCCCCCTCCCCCCGCGTCTCTCTTCAGGGGAGAAGGCAGCGAGCGCGACCTGCCCCGGCCTATTCCGCCGCCGCCTCCTCCTCCTCACACCCCCACCGCGCGCGCCCCCGCGGCGGCGCGTGCGACCCAGCGCCTCGCGCCGGCCCGCGTGCGGCTGGGGCACCGAGTGCGCGCGCACCCCTTCCCCCACCGCGCGCGCGCTCCCTCGCCTCACTCTTCGGGGTTCAGGGCGGGTGAAGTCGGGCTCGCGAGCGCGCCGCCCAATCAGCGGAGCCGCCGCTGCCGCCCCCTCCCCTCCCCTTGCGCGCCCGCTCGCGGCCCGGGCCTACGGGCCGGCCCGGCTGCCCGGGCGGGGCCTGAGGCAGGCTCCCCAGGGGCCTCGCGCGCCTCCCCGGAGTGTCTGGGCCTGCGGGCGTCGTGGGTGGCACTCAGATCCCCTCACCTACCTCGGGGCGCTGCGCCGGCCCCGAGCTGCACACGGCTCCTGCACCCTACCCAACTCGAGCCCCAACCCCGGCGGCACCTGGCCCGGCTGAGGCCTGTCCGACCGCCCCGCCAGCCCCGCTCGGGCCCGCGTCAGTCCCGACCTCCATCTTAGGTTACAGCCCGGCTCCCCATCCACTGGGCACCTGCCCTCAGCCCGCTCGGCTCGGCCCGAGGCCAAGGCAACCCCCCCCTCCTACCGCGGGGCTCACCTGGGGGCTTGGGCTGGGGTCTTCGAGGCCTCAGGCCCCGAGCAGGCGCGGCCGCAGGTGAACCCCCTGCCCGGCCGCACCCCAAACCCACACCACCATCACCACAGACCAAGCTGAGCAGGAAACAAAATGGAGGCAGCAGCTCGGGTCTGCCTCCCCGAGCCAAGCTTGTGCAGCCTCAGGGCTCCCTCCTGCCGCAGGCCCGACGCCCGCGAGGCAGGGGGCTGGCTCGTCCCGGGCAACACAGGCAGCCGCCTTAGAGCAGCGCAGACAGGCCGGGGACTCGGCCCTGCGGTCCCCACAGCCCCTCACCCACCACCCTTTCCCTTCCCCCTCCCCCTCATTTCTCTCCCTCCCCCTGCCCGGCCTTGCGGGGTGAGCAGCGACCGGGAGCCGGGTCGGGTCGGGTTACCCGCCCGGGCACTGCTTGCCCGGCCGTGGGCTCGGCCGGGGAATGAGGCCCGGCGACCCCCGCGCTGAGCCCACCCCCCGCACCGGAGCCGGGCAGCAGCCTGACAGCGCGCCCGCACCTCGGCCTGCCGCCGTGCGGCCCCCGCCCTGTGAGGCCGTGTCCCCAGCCCGGGCACCGCCGGGACGAAGCTCCCTCACCACCCCCGGGCCCAGGGGTCTTCGCTGCCTCGGGCGGGGCAAGGGGCGCGCTGGGGGGAGGGGTCCACTAATCCCTGCACCGCCTCCCGCGCCTAGTCTGGGTCTGGGCCTGGCACGGGGACTCGGGCCGCGGGCGCGGGCGGGCGTCAGTAGGTGTGTGCGCGCGGGGCAGGGGACGCGGGCTGGGGGCCCGGAGGGGCCGCGCCTCGCACCGCGGACGCTGCAGTTCTCCGCACCCAGGCAGATGGCCCTCTCGTGCCACAGCCGCCCAGCGCAGGCCGCCGGCTCTGCAGCCCTGATCCCCCGGGAGCGCGCGCCTCGCCCCTGCGAGCCGGGCTTCGGGACCCCGGCGGAACTGCGTTGAGAGGGCGGACCGCCGGGCTGGCCCAGCAAGGTCTAATGGCCTAATCTTCGGCCCGGTGCTGTCTGCTCCCAGGGCGCCTTGGACCTCGAGGCCTGCACCCAGCGCCCCGGGCCCCGCAGCCCTGGCCTAGAGCGGCCGCGATGCGTCCAATCATCAAAGGCGGTGCAAGGACAGGTCAAGGAACCCAAACCCAGCCTCACCCCGGGACTCCGGCCCCCTAGGCCCTTCCCCCAATTCGGTCTGACTCCGTCTCCCCCTGGGCCTGTACCCCGGCAAAAAGCTCACCGCGGCAGCTAGCTGTTACCAAAAATGCTAAGGGCATCCTCGCTGTTCCCAGAGAAAACCACGATCTACCGCCATAAAAATCCCGCCTCCTCCAGAAAGCCTTCTGTGATTAGAGTTAACTCCATCTCAAAGCTGAGGGCACCGCCCTCGAGAGCCACGTGACTACCATTCCTCCCTGGGCTTAGTAAATGTGCATAATTATTGCCCCAGTGGAGTGTTTACCCGCAGCCCTTCTATCTGTTAGCCGTGAACCCACTTGGGAGAAAGGCCACTTTTGGTCTTGCCCTGCACGGTATCGGCACGGGGATCCCTAATCTCCACCCTTCAGCCTTTCCCGTCCTTCACCCCGAGATTGGTCCCGGTAGGCTGGGAGCTCAGGATGCCCCTAACCTCCTACTCTCCAAGGCCCACAGACCAGCCATGGAGGCACACAAGTAAACACAGGCTTAGCACACCGTAAGTGCTGGGATGCAGGCCCTGCCAAGACAACAAGCAGACTTTCTGGAAGGGTAGATTACCCCCTGGAACCAGAGTAATGCCCCCCCTCCAACTACGACCCCAGGGGGCCTCTGAGATACTCTGAAGGTTCCCAAGTGCAAAGTACGGTTGGCAGTGTTCTGTGCACTAGGACCAGCCAGAGAAGAGCTGGGTCTACACCCCAGGGTCCCGCCCTACAGGGACCAGCCCTTGTTCTGCTAAGGAGAAACTCCTGCCAACCCCTTCTGGGCAATTCAGTGGGGAAGCTTTGACTGTTTCCTTCTTCACACCTAATAATTTGAGCTAAGCATTTCTGACTGACAATTACACCCTGCCAATTGCCCCAATTCATCAACGCTCCTCTCAACCTTTTACTTTCCCACAGACCATCCTGAGGGCCTCAGAACTGCCCCTGTTTGGCCTTGAGCCAGTCACTTAATAGCCCCAAGCCTCAGTTTCCTCATCTGTGGCTTCCAATGCACAGGGTGGCGTGAGGTTTCTCTAAGGTAAAGGTCAGTTTCAGGGGCCTGTACAGACTAAGCACCTGATGAATCCTGAAATGTAATTCATTGCTTCATTCGGCAACCATTTCCTGCATTCTGGGCAATATGCTGGGTGCTGGGAAAACAAGGGTGAGACGCCTGCCTCAGGAAGCCCCAGGCCTCCAGAAAAGACAGTTAAATAAAGGTGCTAAGGTGTGAAGACGTGCTGGGACAATGGTTACTCCCTGAGCTGACCTCTGGACATCACTGCCCTACAGGAAACCCTCTTTCCAACGTCCCAGCCCCCAAGGGAAAGAAGTAGGGGCCAAAGGGGGACAGGCAGCTGGGATGAACCTGTTGGGCCTTGGGGAGGCTGGAACCCCAGGTAAAACCTCCTGGACTTCCCTGGGGTGACATCAGGGGGCCCTTCCTGCCTCTTAAGTAGAACTTGACTGCAGTGGTCTCAACTACAACGGCCTCCCTCTGGGGCCTCCGCATCCAGCATGTCCTGGCCAAGCACCTCCTGTGGGTCAGTTCTGGGTTGAGGGGACCCACAGGACCCCATATTCTCACAAGGACACTGGCTCTTGAAGTCAGGGAAGAAGGGACAGGGCTCTGTCCTACCCTCCTCATCTTAGCTCAGGGAACTTTTCTGGGCCTGTGTCTCCCATCCATAAGACAAAGATTAGAATCAAATACTTGCTAAGTCTATGCTGTATACTGGACACCATGCTGGGTACTTGGCACACATTAGTTCCTTTAACCCTTCAGCAGCCCTGTGAAGAACTGAAGTCCAAAAGTTTAAGCTCTTCTGCAAGGTCTCAGGGCCTTAACTGTCACCTGGTGTGCTTGGCCTTGTATCTGTTGCTCTTAGCTGGCACACAGATACCATCTGTGAGTGCCCAGCACAGTGCCTGCCTCACCCACAGGTGCTCAGGAATTTAAGTGTCAGGCAGTGAGATTACCTTAGCCTCAGTTTCCTCATCCATGAATTATGGTTACTGATAATTCCTACCCTGCTGAGATAGATACTTGTCAAGGCATTTGGCCAATGTACAGTGACCCCTTTTTTCTTGGAACTGCCCCCCTTCAGTCATTCATTCATTCATTCATTCAGCAGATATTTATTGAGTTCTCCACTCATAGCCTTGTGAGGAAGGCAGATAAGTGAAAACAAGCTAGAGAGCTGAACACTAAGAGAGAAGCTAAAGGTGCTGGGAGTTTGGAGTAGGGTGGTTCTCAGGGACAGTCAGGGAAGCAGTAACAGGTCTCAGGTGAGGATGGGAAAGGCCATGGGTGCCTGATCATGCAGGGCCTTATCGTTCAAGTTGAAGAATTTAGGCTTTCTCTAGAGGGCTGTAGGGAACCATAGAAGGTTAAGGAGCAGATTCTAGATCACATCTATGCAGTACAAAGCTCACTCTGCCAGCAGTGTCCAGAAGAGATTGATACTTCCCCTAGAAACACAACCTTGGCCAGGGCCTTGCCTCTGGGATATGCTAGAACTGCCTTGTTCCAGTAACAGTTGTGGCTTCTCCTCCTTCATGCCAGATGTTCTCCAAGACACCCTCTCATTTAGTCCTGAGTGGGGCACTGTTGTTATCTCCATCTTCCAGAGAGGAAGCATGACTTTGTCAGAGCCAAACTCCTAACGCATCTCCCAGTTCAAGCTCTTCATCCCTCCTGGACATGGGCGTCATCTGCTTTCTGACTAAACAGCCAAGTTTGGTAATTAATCCCAAATGCTGCTGGTGAACACCACAACCATCCCTTCTTATGGGTCTAGGACTTGAGAATTCCTTTCTCTTCCCACTCAGTGGTTTCCCCAGAACTGGATCAGGCTTCTACTTAAGATCAAGGAAGGCTTGGTCACATCTGAAGCCATACAGCTTTCCAGCAGTGTTTCCTTTCTACCCCAAATACCAGGTTTCTGTCTGCTAACCTGACCCTGTAGCCCAGCCCCAAGGACTCGAGTTTCCACCTTCAAGTGTTCTTTTTCTCAGACATTCTCCTTTGAAAGCCCTGTGTGTGCTGGCCACTAACCCCTGCCCTTTTGCCCTCATCACTTCCTTGGCTGCCCAGTGGACTCCCTGTGCCAGGACAGGCCACATTTCATCCAGCCTGTGCCCATGCTCCTCCCTTTGCCTTTTCTCCTGTTCGGAAAACTCCTGCTCAACCTTCAGGGCCCAGTTTAGAAGACTCTGCCTCCTGGAACCCTTCCCTGATCCCACCCCAGCATGAGCCACTGCAGTAACTATTGGCTTCCAAATATGGTCCCAGCCAGGGACAACAGGCTCAGGGCGTACACTTCTCTGATCTCCAATGACCAAGCCCAGGACTGTGAGGCTCAGAGTAATTACCAGAGAAACATTTCCTGATGCCTGATCTGTCCCCTCCCCTCTTCTCCAAGCTTGTGTCTCCATTAGACAAAAATATTATGGTTTGAATTATGGACCAAATGGGTAAAACTTAAACCTTCCCTAAATGGATTCTCAGATGTTTGGGAAACACACATTCCTCTGTGCCAGACAATGCTTTCAGAAACTGTAAGACAATCTATAGGAGCTGGAGTCAGATAGATATGGGGTCAAAAGAGTAAGAGAGCCTATAGGATCTGGAGTTCTAAGAGAGCCTGTTAAGTTGCACCCTCAGCCCCCAGCCTGGCACTTCTGAACATACTGATTCCAAGGGGAGGAGTAGGAAGTGGACTGGGGAGATACAGCCTGTGGCCAGCAGAGTGGTTGCACCTTCTACCTGCTAAGGATTACCATTTTACATTCACCCCCTAATTATCTCCCTGCATGCAGAGCATATTATCCTATCTTACAGTTGGAAATAGAGGCAGGGGCACCTGGGTGG